AAGAGAGCACAAGCAATATTGTATCAAATTTGTTGCAATGAAGTCAATCAACTCGTCTTTTTTTTTTTATTACTTCCACAATGAAGGCAGGCCTGCACTGCACCCACCACTTTCTTCTGAATATTATGTGTCTAGGCCTAAATTTCTTCCATAGTGTGACTCTCAAATTGCTCTCCAGCAACCACAAGAATGGGCTTAACAGAAAAAATTAAATAAACTGTCACCATGGTGAACCCTAGTGCTCAAAGATCAGGAAACTGATCAACACAGTCACTAACCTTTAAGCTGTAGAACTGCACAAAGTCCTACCAATATTAAACATTCCAAAGGAAGATAACTTACTTTGGTCTTTCAGGTTCAGCAGAGTTCTCTTCCTTGGAAGGAGCTCCCGCAATTATCTTTAGGGCATTGGTTAACGGGACCGGGGACCTGAGAGACATAAGTTTCAATACACTGATAAAAAAAAAGGAATCATTTACACAAGTAAATACTAGTTGTTATCTTTTCATTTTGTGTGAAATATGTAAAATGGCATATTTCATTTTAGAAAATCAACTTACTTCCTTCCATGCATCTTACATTTCTTCCTCAGCTCCTACTGAGCCCTACTGCCATTTTGGCTTTCTTCTCTATTCTCATTTTTAAAAAAAATTCTTTTTACATTATGTTGCGGGGGGGATTAAAGGGGGGGGGGGGGGGGGGGGGTACATTAGACTTTCAAAGATAGCTATTTTGCTTCAGAAGATTAAACACTCAATCCGCTACCCAAGAATCAAGGAAAATTGTGTACCATATTCAGGTTTACAAACCCTGATTACTAGTTTGTAAGAGCAGGGACTTATGACAAATCACTGGACCAATCAAAGATGCAAGCAGCAGAGAATGGAGAGTGTGAGGCAACAATGAAATTCACAATCTGTCTAAATCAACACTCATTAATAACCTCACGAGGGCTAATTCCTACAACAGTTAGCGCATCTGGAGAGAATGGCAAAAAAACAGAGAGTCAAAAACTGTGTACCTAAGAAGGTTTAATGAGAGCAGACCACCAGGTAGACCAAGAAGATGATGGAGATATAATATACAGGCAGCCCTACACACATCTGAAGTCATCATCTTGAAAGAGAAGTCCAAAAACACAGATGAATTGAGATGGGAAATATCTACAGCAAGACACCTCGACGGTGCAGAATGCTGAACAAGAAGAAGACAAGGAATACTTGAGTTTATCAGTGTTGTAATAATCCATTAATCCATTTGCTGAACTGAACCCTGTTTGCTCAAATTAGAGGCAGATGCCATGCTTTGAAGCCAACCTGAACTCCAACATTACACATCGTTTTCACATATCAACCCAGGCATTCAAAACTTACGGTTTGTCCTCTCCAGCATGAGGTGACTCTCGCCCTCTGTCTCCAGCACCTATTGCATGCAGGGCATCAGTCATTGGGACTGCAGGAACTGGAGTTGGAGACTGTCCCTGCTGTGTGAGATAGAAATAAGACAACGATGAAGCTGGGGTACCTTCTGGGAAGTTATCTACAGTCTCAATTTATGGATTTTGTTCTATAGGAAAATTTAATGTTGGATGACTCAAGAATGCTTATTATTCAATCCTCATTAATTGGCAAGAACTGCCATTACTATCTGTATTTGCCACTTTTTTGCTGTGTGGGGAACAGAAGAAAATAAAAAGGGGGGGGGGTCGAGCCTCTGGATTGAGAGACTCTGGATTGAGAGACTCTGGATTGAGAGCCTGTGGATTGAGAGACTCTAGATTGAAAGCCTCTGGATTGAGAGCCTCCAGATTGAGATCCTCAGGATTGAGAGCCTCCGGATTGAGAGCCTGTGGATTGAGAGCCTCTGGATTGAGATCCTCTGGATTGAGAGCCTCTGGATTGAGAGCCTCTGGATTGAGAGCCTCTGGATTGAAAGCCTCAGGATTGAGAGCCTCTGGATTGACAGCCTCTGGATTGAGAGCCTGTGGATTGAGAGCCTCTGGATTGAGATCCTCTGGATTGAGAGCCTCTGGATTGAGAGCCTCTGGATTGAGAGCCTCTGGATTGAGAGCCTCCAGATTGAGAGCCTCCAGATTGAGAGCCTCGGATTGAGAGCCTCCGGATTGAGAGCCTTTGGGTTGAGAGCCTCTGGATTGAGGGTCACAAGGTTAATGGTGTCACCACGACTATGCAGATCAGGATTTTATTTTTGCCCCCACCAGACAAAAATCCAGTCTTACTGAGGATTCGAACCTGGGTCTCCCGCATGAAAGCCCAGTTGTCTTAACAGTTCGGTCAGAGCCTCTGGATTGAGAGCCTTCTCCTCCATTTTCATTAATTGGATTGAGAGCTTTCATTATGCTAGGTCGATATGCAGAACGACTTCTGAGGATAATGCCCGGGCCCATGCCGGGTTCTCCTCATTTTCATCCCAGCTGCGGGCCATGCCGTCTTGCGCTGGGCCATGCGTTTGCGACAGTGGTATCAGAGAAGCCAACTGTCCAGAAAGCAATGGCAAACTACTGGATGTAAATTTGCCTAGAAAAACCACACAACAGCCAGGGGCTGTTGGAGTTGGTTGTGCAAGGTCCTGTAAAGGATATGCAACTAACCTTATATTCATTACATCTTACATTCAATTATCAAGATGATTTCTTTTTCTTAGGGTTCACCAGCTGTAAACTCTGGCAGAAAGTTCTGGTTGTTCATCCACTTCTGGACTCTGGTCCTGTTCCAGAACTTGAGTTTTGTGTCCACATCAGATTCAGGGATCCGGTTTACTTGTATGCAGACTGTTGGTTACTGACCTATCAGGCAGATGCACTCCGACTTTAAATTAGAAACGTAATTAGTCGACTTTTATGACATGCTTGTTGGGAGCGGTGGATCTGTACAGTTTTCCCCCCAGAAAGGGAGCTCCTAACCCATACAGGGACCATAGTGAGATAACAATGCCTGATGGTGATCAAGGTTTTCATGAAGAAATTAGTTACCGGAACAATTCCCTGTCTCTGTTGTTGTAATTCATTCTTTTTCATCTCCACCCAGTGCTCTGCCTGAGCCTAGCAGAAGGAATTAAAGATATTGAATAAATAAAAATAAACTGTGAAAACCTTTTTTTTTCTTCTCCTCGTCATCATCATCTTCTTCTTCTTTTTTTCTTTTTCCTCTTTTTCTTTTTCTTCTTCTTCTTTTTCTTCTTTTCTTCTTCTTCTTCTTCTTTTCTTCTTCTTCTTTTTCTTCTTCTTCTTCTTCTTCTTTATCACCATCTTCAACTTCTGTGTTTGCCCTTAAAAGGACTGTTGGCACACTGTATGGTGGTTTACAGCTGGGTTATGACATCTTCACCTTTCAGCCCAACACATCTGATTTCAGCGGTCTTAATTAGTCGCTTTTTATGACACTGGCAGTGGGTCTATATATTTTCCCCCACAATGGGGCCCTGAACACACACGGGGGATTTGTTTTCATGCAAAGATAAATCAAACGTCTAGCAGGCCTTTAGTATGCTGCGCTCGTCAGGGCATACCGTACCAGTTTGATATTTATTATGGCCAAAGAATTTAGATGAGAAATGAAGTCATGGTCGGAACTGTTAACCTGTCAGAGAATTAGGCAAACCACACTTCTGGGCATGCATTAAGAATGAGTTATGAGTTAAGAACCAACATTATAGTACTCAGGACATTCCCATAAGTGCTAAGTCCTATCTTCAGCAGCAAGCTCAGAATGTCATAAAAAGCAAATGCTAAAATATATCATAGACAGGAAAAGATAGAATATATCATGAGAAGGGAGAAAACAGAAAATTCCAAGAGCTGAAAACTAAAAAGAATCACAAAAAAGTTAGCATCGATTGTGAGAAGGAAGATTTCTTACTTTCAATGCCTCCACTTTCCTCCTACGCTCCTCTGCATTTGGTGAATTCTGTAATTGAATAAAGACAATACTCACTAGAAATGTTCACATAACACTCTTCGCTGTGCATCATCACCATCATCTTGTAGTGGTACCTTCATACTGAAGGTCGACTGTAATGAGTTGCCAATGTATAATAGTTGACAAAAAAAGATTGTAAAACAGAGTTGAGCTGAGCCTCGAACTGACATTACAACACTTAGGGTACTCCCATCTCCATCTTAACTAGCCAGCGCAGCTCGAATTCCAATATAAAACAGAAGATTACAAGATTATAAAAAAGTAGACATCAGAAGATTATAAAACAGTGGACACCTGGGATACTGTAAAACAGCAGACGTATGAAAATTGTAAAATAATGGAGTAATGAAGATTATAAAACAGTGGATATCTGAAGATTGTAAAACAGTGGATATCTGAAGATTGTAAAACAGTGGATATCTGAAGATTGTAAAACAGTGGATATCTGAAGATTGTAAAACAGTGGATATTTGAAGATTGTAAAACAGTGAACATGTGAAGATGGTAGAATAGTGGACAATAAGAACGTAAAACAGCAGACATCTGAAGATTGTAAAATAATGAAGTACTGATTATAAAACAGTGGACACTTGAAAACTGTAAAACAGTGGACATTTAAAAACTGTAAAACAGTGGAAATTTAAAAACTGTAAAACAGTAGACATTTAAAAATTGTAAAACTGTGAACATCTCAAGATAGTAAAACAGTCGATATTTACAGAAATAAATAAATACATAATTAAGATACATATCAGACTACAAAGACTTCTTCTTCTGCGCTCACTGTCTGTAAACACTGGCAAAAGGATCTGACTGTTCACCCACTTCTCAATTTTGGTCTCGTTCCAGAACTTCGAGTTTTTGTGAGCTCATCTGTGTTTAGAGATCTTGTTTATCTGCATGCAGTGGGTCGATTCTTTTTCCCCCCCCCCCCCCCCCCCCCCCTCCCCCCCCCCCCCCCCCCTCCCCCCCCCCCCCCCCCCCCCCCCCCCCCCCTTCCCCAAAAATGGGGACAGGACACTACAAAGACAACAACTATTTTAAACAGAAAAACTGACTGACCTTGCCCCTACTTGCATCGTCTGCTGCATGAGCTACCCTAGGCATGGCTCCACGGTCTCTCATGTTCTGTATGCGAATCTGCCGTAGCTTATCCAGGTATTCCTGTCAAGTTAAGAAGTGAAAACCAAAATGTCATTCTCAGATGTTACAAGCTGGCAAATGCAATAGACAATGCAGTCCAGAGAAACAAGTAAATATGGGATATCTAAGAAGCTTCTCAGTTTTTAATGTTCAAGTTTTCTCACCCTCTTGAAACAGATTTGGGAAAACAATTAAATTTACTTGTGCTCAGGGCCTTTTTTTTTAGAAAAAGGTGTGGGTACTCTCCACACAGTGTCCAAAAAGGGTGCCAGTGCTCACCACAAAGTGTATATTACTGTAGGACTGAAAAAAAATGACACCAGAAAGAAAAAAAGCCCTGTGTGTGCTGCTATGTGACATAGAGGTTAGTGAAATCACTTCACAATGTAATCCTCAAAGTTTACCAGGGTTCGAATCCAGCAGTGAGCCGTTTAGAAAAAATGACAAAAGTCATGTCGACGAGCAGTCGACTATGTTAATGCCAGAAGCTCGTCTGTGAATTCGAAGGTCATGGGTTAAAATCCAAACAGAGCTGACTTTTTCCAAAATGACCTTGGCTCCCAGGTCAACCCGGCCTCAAACGGGTACAAGGAAAAAGTCCTGGGAAGTAAAGGCAGCCAGCGCGATGTTGACCACATCCCCCACCCAGGGCAGATTAGGCTCTAAAATACAGGTCTAGCGGTGTGTGCCCAATTCTCCTGAGGTCATGGAAAGGGTCCGTTACTTGACATTCAATATATAGAATATAATGACAAATGAAGAGCAAATACACTAAATACACAGAACGAAATGACCCCCAAAAATACATTAAATACATAGAACAACATGACCAATGAAGAACAGTTACAATAAAAATGCAGAACAAAATGACCAAAGAGGAACAGATAAATGAAATACATAGAACAAAAGGACAATTACAAACAGAAAAACAGTCCACAACAGAAAGTAGCAGACAATTTCTGAATGTTTCAAGGTTTCTTTTTATCATTACAGTGTGAGGAGAATGGCGTTGTGAGATGTAACCAGGGGATCTGGCCAATGTTCAACACTTCTAATGACCGGCTCAGGTCAAAATGGGCGCTAGGCAGGGCCACTGTTTTTGAGCCGCGGCAAATTTTTGATTCTGCCGGACGGAGGCCGATGCATTTTTGTTCCATTTGTAGACTGGATATAGTTTTGTTGCCCAGCTTCTGAGTTGAATGCATGGCGTGACACTGTGAGCTGCGGATTTCATTTGGAATGTTTTTTCGACTGTGACCAACGTGGTGGTGTAAATTGTAGATTCAGAAAATGGCGGGATGCCTGTCGTCGCAATTTTGGTGGTGCCCGTTTGTAATTAAAATTGATAGCATGGGAAACTGCATATCTGTTGGTGACTTCTGCTACCATCAATGATGAACTGCATTTCTAATGTCGGACTGTTTGTGTTAGCACTTCGGATGGCTACCGTATGCTTTAATGTGAGTGTATGCTAGATATGCTGAGACAGCAGTCTGTCAATCTTTCCACAAGGGACTGTGATAAACATTCTGTGTGTTTTTCATTGGCACAGGAGCGGAACAAAGATGGGGTGACCCGTGTGCTATGAAGCTGAAACTAAGACTACCAGACCAGACTACCAGACTCAAGGGAAGGGGGAGAGGGATATACAATCAGACAGTTACTGGTACAATCCAAATTCGAATGCTTCACTTGCTACTGAAGATGGGAACGGATACCTTATGGGAGTCTCCCGAGTGCTGTCCTGTCGATTCCTAATTTGACATTCAAGGTTTTTCAGAAACACCTCACCTGTTCTTCCTTGTTTCTTGCCATCAATCCACCTCCACCATTTCCGCCTCGATTTTTTGGACTAGAGCCTCGTCCTGCAAATTAATTTCATTAAAAATAAATGCGTGTGTGAGTTTGTTTTTGGCTTTAAATATTTTTTTTTTTGGGGGGGGGGGGGGGACACAAAAAGGGGGGGGGGGGGGGGGGGGGGGGGGTACAAAAATTGTTCGCATTCAACTATCTTCTAGGTAAGCTTAGGTTATATCTGAGATAAATTTTTACTTTGTGAAATGATGTTTCACTTGCGTTTTCATTTCTGTGTCATTTTGTGTGTCATGTTCTTCGCTCATTATTTTGCAATGATAGTCTTGTGTGTTTTTGTTCGTGCATATGTGTGTGTGTTTATGTGCGTGCATGCATGTGTTTGTGTGTACATGCATGCGCTGTGTGTGTTTGTTTGTACAAGCATGCGTGTGTGTACATAAGTGAATGATTGTGTATTTGTGTGTGTGCATACATGAGCGCTTGTGTGTGAGTTTGTGTGCACATGCATGCATGTGTGTGTTTATGTGTGCATGTGTGTGTACATGTGTGTATAAATATAAATACATGCATGTGTTTATGTGTAAATATGTGTATATGCATGTATATGGGTGTTTGTGTGTGTGTGTGCCCATACATGTATTCTACTTTTCATCTGGTTTTATATCTTTGCAAGATATATACATATATATATAACACAGGCACCAAAACAGAGTTAACACTCTGGGGTAAACGGAGGAACGTCGCTGAAGCTACAGAGTTACGTGCGGTTGGGGACACAGGCGGACAGTTTCTCATCAGCTGTCCATACTGGTGGCAGAGCACTTATGGTTTATAACCGTGTGCAATGACACTGGTTCACATTTCCCGACTTTACCTTTTTTTTTTTTACACACAAACTATACACCAGTTCATAGATATTTAACCAAACCACTAAATACCACCTGGCATGTCAGTTAACATCTGAGTTATTTACATCGAGAGAATCTTACCTGGCGCTGGCACTGGAGTACGGCGGTCTGCAGATGGTGGCCGATACTGAAAGAGTTTTTTTTTTTTAAATAGTTTATTTTTAAATATCAATTTTACAACACAGAATCACATCTTTTTCTTCTTAGCGTTCACCGGCTGTAAACTTCAGTGAAATGCTCTGGTTGTTCATACACTTTTAGACTTTTAGTTTTGTTCCAGAATGTGAATAGTGCATGCACATCTGTTTTACAAATCTGCTTATTTCTAAGCAGACAGCTGGTTCTTCACCTCTCAGGCAGACATGATCTGACTTTGGAAGAAAATTCCTAATTAGTCAGATCGGAAAACAGTGGGTCTATTCTTTGAGTGCTTGAAAGCAGAATGTAAGAGAAGCCAGTGTGCCCAATTTGTAACCCTTTGGAAATAAAGTTTTTCTCGTTCACTTGTTCAACTGTTAGTAATATGCACCTTGCAAGATATAGCTAAATGTGCCAGGTAATAAAAAGTTAAATCTGCTATATCTTCTTTGCTTTTGTCTATTTTTTCCTGTTTCATCAATTTAAAACTGAATCTCAACAGAATTGCTACAGAAGTAAAGTGTGTCTGGTCTTTTATCCATGTTTTCAGTGAATGTCTGAAAAAGTAGCAACTAGTATTCCTGCAGACAAATATCTGTTGAAAGAGGATTTGTGGTGTGTTCAAAGTGCAATGAAAAGTGAGAATTATCATCATAGCACTTGGGATGAATCCATGGGTGCTCCATCTCCTCAAAAGTTTCATAAGTAAAAAAGACTAATGGAGCCTATTCTTTGCTGATTAATCAAACAGCTTGTCCCCTTGGTGAAAAGTTAATTTCTTGCAGCTCCAGGCTGTGCCCTCAGGTCTATCAGCCTAGACAGGGATACAGAGTTTTGCCCTTTACCGTTTTTGTCTTTGCGGTAAGTGCTGCGCATGGCGCTGATAACACCACAGTGCACGAACAAGCTGTTGCCATTGCAGTGTGTAAAGATCATCTGCATGTTTGTTGCCTTAAACACACACATGGCCTGGCACAAAGATTAAGGTTAGGCCAGTCATTTGTGGAAGTCTTTAGTGTCACAATCCATTCTTATTTGATGATGAGAATATCATGACAGTGAGCCTAGTCAGTTAGCAAACCAATCAATATCATGACAGTGAGCCTAGTCAGTTAGCAAACCAAACAACCAAGGGGAATATGATCAATGCCAGTAAAAAAAGACATACACAGACACAGTTCTTCTTCTGCACTGGCCCTTATAAAGGGTTGTAGGCACACTGTGTTGTGGTTTACAGCAAGGCTGCCATATTTGCATATTTCAACCCAACAAATCCCCTTTCAGCAAAACCTCTAATTAGATGCCTTTTATGACATGCTTGTTAAAACCGTAGTGGATCTATTCTCTTGTCCGACCTCCCCCAAAATTGGGCCCCAGAATCCACATGGGGAACTAAAACAAGGAAAGCGAATAACAAACAAGTGCCAACCAAAACCATACCACGCCGAAGAGATCGTGCTGTGCTCTCATCTTGTTGAGGGCAGCTTGTCTCTGACGCTGAATGTAATCCTCCACCACCCGAGCTCGCTGAGCAGCCTGGGCACCCATTTGCCTGTTTGGACATTACCACATATTTCAGTCATGGCACGCTTATACAGCAAGGCAATTGTTATTAAATTATAAAATGTTTATGTTCTCCATGTTAATAACAATAACAACCTCTGGTAAATTAACTTCTTATATAGGAAAATACAAGACAAGAGAATCACAGGAAGACAGAGAAATAAATATATATATATATATATATATATATATATATATATATATATATATATATAATATATATATATATATATATATAGATATATATATATATATATATATATATATATATATATATATATATATATATATATACATATATATATATATATATATATCCCCTATATATATATATATATATATATATATATATAAAAATATATATGTCAAGGATTATTTAGCTGAACAGCAACTGGTTATGTAAGCAACATTAACTTCATTAAAATATCAAATGACAGAAAGGACAATTTCATCATTACGCTTGTTGTAGCAGTCGACTAACTGGGGACTTCCTTTGAAGTCGGAGTGCATCTGCCTGAGAGGTAAGGAACCAACAATCTATATACAAATAAGTCAGATCTGTAAAACAGATGTGCAGGCAACACTCGGGTTCTGGAACCAAACTAAAGTCCAGAGGTAGATAAACAAACAGAAATTAGTTACAGCCAGTGAATGTGAAGAAGAAGAAGAAGAAGATCATCAAGAAGATCTAAAGAGAATGGTGCCAGCGGGAGTTCCCAGAGGATCTGGTCAACACTCTACACTCACAGCAAAGGTAAGACAGACATATAGTCAGACTGCTACTGGTACCATTGGAACTCTTTGCTGGCTGCTGATGATGGGGACAGAGAGGTTATGGTGCTGTGATGCTGGTACCTGAAACTGAACTCATGACAGAGAAGTACAAAGTCATGATCACCACTGATTGCTCCAGACAAGGCACTTGAAGACGATTATCATTACATCAATTTCATCATCGTCACCATCATTTTCATCACTGACAACTCCTCTTCTTCTTCCTCATCTCCTCTTTTACTCCTTTGTGTGTCAAGAGAGATATAGAACTCTGCTTCTTGCTCTTTTGGTTGTCTTGATTATGGATACATTATATTGTTGCAGAGTTTCTCCAATGTGAGGAGTATTGTCTGGATTTTTTTCACCAGGATATGCCGGTGTGTTGGGAAATGAACAGGCTGACAGACTGGCTGGCTCTGCACAACATGGTGGAATACTGATGCATGATAAGGCAGACGTTGTTAGTGCCTTGTGGGAGAGAATGTACAGTTCAGAGGAGCAGATGGATTACCACAGTCTGGTGAGGCTGATGCAGGGGGGGAGTGACAACAGGTTCTGGCAGGTGCTCGAGGCTCAGAGGAAAGGTGAAGATGGGGACGGAGTGCTTATGGGAATGTCCCGAGTGCTGTGATGTTGGTTCTTGAGTCAACTCAATTCTTATGTTATCTGTCCATCTTGTTCTTGCCTTTCTCGTGTTCTACGTCCCTCTCCTCTTCTGACATATGCCTTGTATGGAATGGCGTCACAAGGCATTCTCTCTCTAAATTGGCAAACCACTTGATTTGCTGTCTGTGTGTAATTTAGAAATTGTTCCATGTCAAATTTTTCTCTTATAACTTTATTCCTGATTTTACATCTTCTGGTCACTCCTGCAGCCCTTCTCAGACATCTCATTTCCATGGTTACTCGTTTTCTTTTATGCTTTGTTGTGAGTGACTATGTCTGGCACTGGTAGTATAGGGTGGGAATGAATATGGTTTGTGTAAGATGTTTCTCTGAGCTGATCGGAACTGTTTTATAGATAACACATCACAATCTCAATATACTCTTCGCCTTCTTCTTTGTTCACCAGCTGTAAGTTCTGACGGACAGTCCTGTTTGTTCGCCCATTTGGACTTAGGCTTTGTGCAGGGCCCGAGTTTTGCCTGCACATCCGTTTTACTGGCTTATTTGTGTGCAGTTTGTTGTTCCTTGCTGCTCGGGCAGATGTACTCCGACTTCGAAGGAAGCTCCCAATCAGTCGGCTCCTACTACTTGCTTGTTAGGAAGGGTGTGGGTCTATTCATGTTTTCCCCACAATGGGGTCCCGGAACCCACACAGGGATCAATATACTCAATACACCATCATCAACACACCACCATCCTTACCACCATCATTATAAACCATCATCAATATTCTTCACAACAATTATACTGTCATTACATCGCATGCAGAGAGCACGACTCAAGCAAATGTTGAGCATTTTCTGGAGCCTGACCACATGGACAACGTTCAGAGTCTTCAATCTTGAATTTCTTGTACATATGGCAGCAAAGTCTGTTATGTGCAGTTCACAATATTAAAACAATGGTTTGTTGCTTTCATGTCAGGAGGTTGACCATATTAAAACAATGGTTTGTTGCTTTCATGTCAGGAGGTTGACCATATTAAAACAATGATCTGTTGCTTTCATGTCAGGAGGTTGACCATATTAAAACAATGGTCTGTTACTTTCATGTCAGGAGGTTGACCATATTAAAACAATGATCTGTTGCTTTCATGTCAGGAGGTTGACCATATTAAAACAATGGTCTGTTACTTTCGTGTCAGGAGGTTGACCATATTAAAACAATGGTCTGTTGCTTTCGTGTCAGGAGGTTGACCATATTAAAACAATGGTCTGTTGCTTTCATGTCAGGAGGTTGACCATATTAAAACAATGATCTGTTACTTTCATGTCAGGAGGTTGACCATATTAAAACAATGATCTGTTGCTTTTGTGTCAGGAGGTTGAACATATTAAAACAATGATCTGTTGCTTTCATGTCAGGAGGTTGACCATATTAAAACAATGATCTGTTACTTTCATGTCAGGAGGTTGACCATATTAAAACAATGATCTGTTACTTTCATGTCAGGAGGTTGACCTGAGTCTTAAGGATTCTGTTCTGAATGGGAAATCTTCTTCTTTGTGTTCCCCAACTGTAAATTCAGGTGGAAAGTTCTGGTTTGTCATCCACTTCTGGAGTTTAGTCTTGTTCCAAAACTTGAGTATTGCATGCGCATCCATTTTACAAATCTTTCTTACTTTATACAGACTGTTGGTTACTCGCTACTCAGGCAGATGCATTCCGAATTCAAAAGAAACATCCCTGGTTAGTCGACTCATGCCTGTAAGGGAAGCAGTGAGTCCATTCCTTTTTTATGCCAAAATAAGGCTCTGGAACCCACACGAAGAAATTCTAATACCAGACACTAGCTAGGGAATGAGCTAATGGTCAAAAGTAATTTCAGTTACTAAATAAATATGCAGTTTCATACATAAAGTAATGAAACTTACATATTGTAGCTATACCTGTCTCTGCCAGCTTGGTCGATGGCCGCCGGCACAGCAACACCCAGGGGGCCTATGTTGAAGTGCTGTATGGGTGCGGGGGACCAGGGCTGTGGGCCAGCTGCCGGCTGTAGTCTGGGAGCTGCCATGTGTATCACTGACGGAGAAGACAGAAAGCATACTGGGTACTAGCTTCTTATTAAAGAAATGGGCTATCATTCGATTAACGGGCACTAAATATGGCGGCGGAAAATTATCCGTTCGAGCCGCAGTCACGTGTCAATTGCTCACTTTCGGCTAATCAATGTGCGCTTTTCCGGTGACTATGGCTACCGCCAAGTGGCCCCCACACGCTCATGCGGCGTGGATTGGGGCTAAACTAGATGGCTAGAACTCACGAGCAAAGCTGCAGGAGATGCGGAAGCTGCTGCTCGTAAGTCCAAGCCATCTAGTTTAGCCCCAATCCACGCCGCATGAGCGGCGTGGGGTCCACGTGGCGTTAGCGGTTGTTGGCAGAAAACTGCCGGAAGACCGCAAATTAAGTAGCCGGAAGCGGGCAATTGACACGTGACTGCGGCTCGAACGGATAATTTTCCGCCGCCATCTTTAGTGCCCGTTAATCGAAGGATAGCCAAGAAATGGACTGAAAAGCTAGTGAAATGTTATACTAAATGTTATGTTATATATGCTTGTCATATCTTATATACATTTATGCTTGTCACATGTTACATACATTTATGCTTGTCATACAAGTACGTTTTACGTCTTGCTGAAACCAAACTGTACTGCAAACATATGCCTTCCTTCTACTATCTTTGTTTTGGGGTTTCACAGTCAGGTTAGAACATATCTGGAGCAATAGTTATTGTGTGCTTTAATCATGGTGCATTCATATGTACTGCTTCTTTTTAGTGCTCCCTGGCTGTAAACTCCGGCAAAAGGTTTAGTTGTTCGTCCACTTCTGGACTTTAACCTTCTTCCAGACCATGAAATTTGCATGCACATCTCTTTTACAGATCCGGTTTATTTTTATGGAGATTGGTGGTTCCTTAACTCTCAGGTAGATGCACTCCAACTTCGAAAGAAACATCCCTAATTAGTTGACTTTAGCACATGCTTGTTAAGGGGGCTGTGGGTCTATTCTTTTTTCTCCCTCACAATGGGAGCCCCAGAACCAACACATGGGTCCCAAAACCAACACATGGGCCCTAGAACCCACACATGGGCCCTAGAGCCAACACATGGGCCCTAGAACTCACACAGGGGCCCCAGAACCAACACATGGGCCCTAGAACCCACACATGGGCCCCAGAACCAACACATGGGCCCTAGAACCCACACAGGGGCCCCAGAACCAACACATGGACCCTAGAACCCACACATGGGCCCTTAAGCCAACACATGGAGTATTCAAGTGTTCACAGTATAAGACATTTTATCAATGTATCATTCATAAGTGCAGCTTCATGTTCTGTTTCCACCGTATCTGCATGCTAGAACTTCCTGTGGAACGCCATCTTTTACCCACAGCAGTGATACAATTATTTTTGTCTTCCATTACATTCTGGGAGGACTGACTATTCCTCCCTAGAAGGTTTCCTGAACCCTATTTTTTTCTTTCTTCTTCTTCAAGTTCATTGGTTGTAAACTCAGTGGAAAGTTCTGGTTGTTCATTCACTGCTGGACTTTAATCTTGTTCCAGGGCTTGAGTTTTGGATGCACGTCAATTTTATAGACCTAGTTTATCTGTATGCAGACTGTTGGTTCTTCATCTCTCAGGCAGATCCCCTCAGACTTTGAAGCAAACACTTCTAATCAGTGGACTCTTATGACATGCTTGCTAGGTAGGCTGAGTCGACCAAGAAACCAAGATCACCTAATGTCTTAATCCACCCACTGTAGATTAAACCAAAAGACCCATCCACCCTTGATGCGGTATCTTCTTGTATTCCTGCATTTGTCTCCTTCAAAAGGTTGGCTGACACACTCTGCTGTAGTTTACAACTAGGTGGTGATATCTGTGGCTTTTGCCCCAACCAACACGTCCAATTTCAACAAACACATTAGTCATCTTTTATAACATGCTTGGATGTTGGGTCTACATCCCCACCACGAGGCCCTGAGATCCACACGGGATGATGAAGTAAATGACAATGTATAGTATGACTGTGCTGGTCACAATCATAGCCGAGTACCTCGCTGACTAGTGTGGGCGATCATTATCTATCAAGAATCTTCTCACATCGTCTTCCTCTATCTCCTTTTCACAGATCTTTCCAGTGGTCACAACATGTTTCAGTTTCCTTCTTCTCATAGTATGACCTAAAAAAGATGCGTTTCAGCCCTTGCCAATAATTTTTTTTTTTATGTCCAGGGAATTCTAATTCTTCTTCTGTAAAACCACATCTGCAAGATTTCACAAAACTGTTTCGCTTGTTTATTAACTGTCTAGGATTCACAACCATGTGTTAAAACTGGCTTTATACAGCATGCAAATGTTTTTTTCTTAACCTGCAGTGACACGCATTTATTGCATAAATAGTTCTTTATTTTAGAAAATGCCGTTTTCTGTCCTGTTATGCTCTTTATTTCTGTTATTTAACTGAAATGGCCCTGCCATAACCTACAGTTTTCATGTTGAATTTCCTCTTCCTAGGATAAGGCTAGTATCCTATCCAATGCGCTCCTCCGCCCAAAGCCGTTGGCACAATATGGGATGTCAGGTTTGGTATACACCGCCCAACATTCAGTGTTAACAGAAAACATGTAACACCAGTATTGTATTATAACAATATATATATAATATCCAAAATGAACTTTTATTCTGTCCTATTATTCTTTATCTCTGTTCTTTAACTGATATGGTTTATAACATTATATATGACAAGAATAATGGAGTTTATAATGAAGTCAAGAAAACAAACACTGACATAAAAGTGTCTAGGTGGCATGAGACTCACCATCCACATGATTTGGGTTACCAGCTTGTCGGGGATCTGCGGGCGGGGTCTGTCTGTCTTTGTACATTTTCTGTAAATACTCGTTGTAGGCATCGTAGTTGCCTCTGTCTCTGTCATTCTTCTGCTGCAAACATTCAGGGATGAGAAAATGTTAACTTTACTGGACAAATCAACCCAAACCATCATCATCATGTAGCAGGTCCTTTGCAGAACATCGATCTCATCACAGTCTGCCTGAAAAAAACTAGGTCTCTCGCCAGCTTTCCCGCCTCATGTACTTTCACACTCAAGGAGTCACTTATATCCTGTGCCCATCTTCGTGTCGGTCGGTCCCTGCCCCTCCTTCCTGGTACCATGCCTTCTGCTATAATTTTTTCCAACCAGTCATGGTGCTTGCTATGACCAAAATATTTCAGCTTCCGAGTCAGGACGCTGTTTATTAGCCAATCTTCCTTAATGTTCAAATCTTTCAAGATGTCAGTATTTCTCCTTTTCTTTGTCCAAGATATTCTGACAAATCTTTCTATAGCGTTTCAGCTCAAAAGCCCATATTCTCTTTCTTAAGGACTCAACCCAAAACCAGCTTCCCATAAATCCCAATAACTGTATTAATAACAATAGACCTACCAGGTAACCTAAATGAGAATAAAAGATTTGCCATGTCACATAAGGGAGCCACTGTGATGTAGCGGCTAGATGCTCGCCTGCGGATACGAAGGTTCTGGTACTGGACTTTTTCCAGGTAAAGTCCTGGGAAGTAAAGGTGGCCATGCTGATGTTGACCACACCATCCACCAAGTGCCAACTGGTGTATAAAATATAGCTCTAGCCCTATATGCCCAATATGGCTGAAGTGGTGGAAGAGTGCACTTTACTTTGCACTTAACAAAAGAAAGAATAGGAGATCTACTATTTAAAAAAAGGGAAAGTAACAGATGCAGAAACTTAAGGGAGAATAACAGATCTACCATAACATAACAGACAATAACAGATCAACCATAGACAGTTGGAGAATAACAGATTTACCATGCAACATTATAATTGGTCATCCGTGTAATATATATAAGTATGACAGAATACAGAGAATACATTATCATATGAAATCATACATAACCACAAAATCAAATCAACCATCTGTTTTTTTATGGTTTAATCATTTGTTTCTGAAAATAGAAAAAGGAGTAAAATCTTGGTCTGTCTGATTCTTATCACAAACATGAGTCGAGGAAGAACTCTTGAAGCTGGCTACACCAATCAGCACATCCAAGCATTTTTTCCAAGCAGACGATTTAAACTTCATTATTGGATGCCTGACAGCCTCTTCTTTTGGGAACTGCAATTTCTGAACCATCATCACTTACTTCTTCACTTTCACTAGCTGCTTCACGCAATGTTATGCTGGTGGTGAATAGTGCTCAGAAAGGTTTGTCTGAGTCTGGTTTATTACAGACTGCCCCCATTGCAACTAACAAAGTACAGAGAGGATCAACTGATGCAGCGAATGAAGTTGCTTCTACAGGCAAACCACAGATCTATGTTTTAGTAATGACCCACTGCAAAGAGCTAGGCCATGTAGTGCATTTTTAATGTTCTAACTGTGCCTTGGTGAAGAGGTTGGGTTTTTAGGTCATTCTGGTGGCAGAAATGTCAGTGTGACATCAGTGCAGTGGTCTCCAACTTGGAGAGAGGTCTCGCCATATACTCAAGGGGGGCGCAATCTTAAAAAGGTTGGAGATCACTGTGTTAGTGAGATGATCTACTTGTGGGTGACCAGGACAGTTGGCCAATGTCAGTAGAACTGACTTTCTTCTTCTTCATTTGTCAGTCAATGTCTCTTACCCACCCCTCAAATACAGGGTCAGTCATCCATGTGGATTTATTTGATCTCCATGTCCTTGAATACATATGGCTTTGCTGAACTGCCAGTCATCGAGGGATTTCTCTCAGGCTAAGCTTGCGCAAAGCACAACTGTGAAATTTCTTTAGAAAGTTTTTAGCTCTTCCATTTTCCCCTTTTACAGAGGATCCAGTCAGGAGCTATGAAAAAGAGTCTGCACTCGCCAGGATTTAAAAAAAGTCGCCATCTTTGAAGCATCCGCAAAGTAAGGGGACATTTTGATAAAATCTTCAAAGCTTCTACTAGAACTTCAAAAGATTTACCATACAAGTTTAATTTTCTTGAGCAAACCATTTAATGCTTGGAAATCTTCTGCCACTCCAAATTCCTCAGTGAAATTTGTTGCCACTTTTGAATGATCAGCCTGCGTGTGAAATTGTCCTGAACCAGCTTAATGTGTCGTCAATAACTTTATCGAAGAGAGTTTTCCTTCTTTTCCACTGTCATTCTCTTTTTTTTATGATATTGCTCTCCAAGTATTCAGGTTTGCCTGTTTGGATGTTACTGCTGTGGTCTTGCTAACCCGAAAATATTCTCTTCTCATTCTTTGGCTGCTACTTTCCAGAAAATGTAGAAGAACCACCTTTACCTTTCATGTCAACTCTTTCCTTTTTCGTTTTTTAAAATTATTTTAGGCCATATGTAAAGGATAAATAAAATGGTAACAGAAAGTCAAAACATCAGTCTCAGTTTAAACAGACAAAAACAGAGAAATATTGGAAATTACAATGAACTCACATTTGGGTTTGGAACTGGTAATGGCCGAGGGGGATACTGCTGATTGTTGCTGGGGGTAGGAGTTCGGTTCCCCTATCAACCAGAAAAGTAAAGTTGAAGTAAATGCCAACAGAATGAGTAGTATCATGTACACAACTATTCTTCTACCTTTCAACTCCCAATGGAGCATAGGGACTCAGGCTACTCACACCTAACTCTCTTAACTGTAGAATCGTTCATGACTGGATGGATTAAATGTTGAATTAAGACAACATCATAGCACTCAGGACATTCCCATAAGTGCTCAATCCCCATCTTCAGCAGCAAGCGCAGTTTCAATTCCGATGGCACCAGTAACAGTCTGACTGCATATCTGTCTGGCCTTGAGTGTTGCATGTCAGCCAGGTCTGTTGGTCACTTTTCCCAGCACCATTCTCCTCAGACTGTGATAATCTATTTGTGCCTCTGCACTGACCGCTCGCTCCCAAACGACCCTTACAACATCTAGCCTGTCATGCATCAATTCATAACAAAGTAGTTCATAACCAGCTGGTCTATCTGCCTCTTCATTTCCCCAATACACCAGCATTTCATGAGAAATTATCCAAAAGAAGCTAACTACCTAGGACTGGCTGGATCCTGCCGCTGAAGGTTTCTTACGGGATTAGGCAACCAGTGTCATGCCAAACTTATTTAAGTGTATGGTACGCTCATCATCATCCTCAATCACCAGGTCCTTTCCAGAACATTGCTTTCTTCACAGCACACTTGAATGTCTCTCTTTCTCTAGCCAATTGGGACTAAGCCTCGAGAGGCAGGGCGTGAGAAGTGTTTGGTGTTGTGCGTAGTGGTTGCCCCCCCCCACTTCACCCTAGGTCTAGTGAATATCTGTTCATGAAAGGAGCGTCCATTGCGGTGTCAGCCTCTTGACCTAGCATAACCTCTCTCACTCCAAGACCATTGTGTCAAAGAGGAAGGCAGAAACACAACCCATATTTCCTTTAGAACTGGTACAGGGCATTTCTAGCTGCTGCCCGGGGGAGGTAGGTAATCCACAGACACCCCAGCACCATAATGCCATAAATATGAAAGAATCTCTAGCCAATTTTCCAGCCCTATGTGCTTCCATAGCCCATGCATCTTCAATGTCTTGAATCCATGTTTGCGGAGGTTGGCCTCTGCCTCGTGTTCCAGAAACTCCAGCTTCCATCACCGTTTTCTCCAGGCCACCACAACCCGTTTAGAGTTGCTAGGGATATACTCTGTGGTAGCCTCTCCCCTTGCTTTCCTTATGCACATGATACACAACAGTGTTAATATTTCTTGTTTTCTTTTATGGGACTCAGTAACACAAAGGTAATGTTTACAAGTGCCGTAAATAATATAGGAAGCATCATCATCCTCTACTGCTGTGTTCACAGATTTTGCTGGTGGTTATAGATGCCTAGTATTGTCTGTCATGATATTTCGTTGTACATCCTCGTTGTACATCATACTGGGTTAGGTCCTGAGTATTTGGTAATGTTGAATAATGTTCTGACTATATAATGATGATGTATATTATGTACAGTTGGATCCTGACTATATGTTGATGTTGCATAAGGCTATATCCTGACCATATGTTGATGCTGCATAAGGCTATATCCTGACTATAAGTTGATGTTGCATAAGGCTATATCCTGACCATATGTTGATGCTGCATACGGCTATATCCTGACCATATGTTGATGTTGCATAAGGCTATATCCTGACTATATGTTGATGTTGCATAAGGCTATATCCTGACTATATGTTGATGTTGCATAAGGCTATAACCTGACTATATGTTGATGTTGCATAAGGCTATATCCTGACTATATGTTGATGCTGCATAAGGCTATATCCTGACTATATGTTGATGCTGCATAAGGCTATATCCTGACTATAAGTTGATGTTGCATAAGGCTATATCCTGACTATATGTTGATGCTGCATAAGGCTATATCCTGACTATATGTTGATAAGGCATAAGGCTATATCCTGACTATAAGTTGACGTTGCATAAGGCTATATCCTGACTATATGTTGATGCTGCATAAGGCTATATCCTGACTATATGTTGATGTTGCATAAGGCTATATCCTGACTATATGTTGATGTTGCATAAGGCTATATCCTGACTATATGTTAATGTTGCATAAGGCTATATCCTGACTATATGTTGATGTTGCATAAGGCTACATCCTGACTATATGTTGATGTTGCATAAGGCTATATCCTGACTATATGTTGATGTTGCATAAGGCTATATCCTGACTATATGTTGATGTTGCATAAGGCTATATCCTGACTATATGTTGATGTTGCATAAGGCTATAACCTGACTATATGTTGATGTTGCATAAGGCTATATCCTGACTATATGTTGATGTTGCATAAGGCTATATAACTTGACTATATGTTGATGCTGCAAAAGGCTATATCCTGACTATATGTTGATGCTGCATAAGGCTATATCCTGACCATATGTTGATAAGGCATAAGGCTATGTCCTGACCATATGTTGATGTTGTACATTTTGTACGATTTTATCCCAAATATATCTGCTCCTATGTGAATGCAGACATTCAACAGACATGTGCTTTAGGAAGTAGGGGAAGTTGAAGAATTCAATCTAGTGATTAATTTGAAGAAAAAAAAAGAAAACTCATAAACATCCTGCTTGAAATAATGAAAAGCAAAACAACATGAACATGAAATGAATATTCAAAAGGGAACTATTCAGCAGGGAATCAGATATTTAAATTACCTCATATCCAGGGGCTGGGCTGACCAAGTGTCTCCAGCCTTCTTCCCGAGCCTTGTTGATTCTTGCTATCTGCAGGTGAAATATTTGGCAACAATCACGCACAGAGAAACTTGTGCGTATGACTATCTATGTGAAGTCAGTAAAGCTGTACAGACTACCGCAAATAAAATCAGACAAATAAGAATAGTTTTAAAACAAACAGCAACAAAAACATAAACAACAAGTAATATCAGTAAGATAGAGTCAAAGCAATGTTTACCCGTTGTGAATTTGAACAAGAATACACAAACAATTGATTGCAGGTGTTTCCTCCATTCTGACTATATGTTGATGTTCCACACCTCGGCCAACTGCTGACTATTGTGATTCATGGAAGCAAACTGCTATTAAATCTAGAATTATGCACTCAAAATGACATGGTCAACAGTCTCTGGTTGCCCTGGTGAAACTGGCAGTATTTTATGTACGTAGTTGACTTTGTGTTTCTTCTGCTTCATTTATCTTCATGTTCACTGGCTGTAACGTCAGCAGAAAGTTCTGGTTGCTCGTCCTTTCTGGAATTTAGTCTTATTCCAGAAATTGAGTGTTGAGTGCACATCCATTTTACAGATATGACTTACTTGTATGCAGACTGTTGGTTCCTTGCCTCCCAGGCAGACGCACTCAGAATTTTAAAAAAAAAAGCCTTCAATTAGTCGTCTCTTATGACATGCTTATTGGAGAGTCATGGGTCTACTCTTGTTTTCCCGATTATAGGGTCCTGGAATTAATCCACATGGGAAGATTTTGTGTTTCAGTTGGAACAATTCATTTATCTGCTTCAATTGTTACTGTAGTATGCACCTGAGGAGATACAGTGTCATATGCCAGGCAATAAACTGTGCAGTCTCTTGCCTGTGTCTTCTTTGTTCAAAGTAAGATCAAGAACAATATGGGATGGTATATGTCAGATGGGACAGACAAACAGAGAGTAGGCATATGGACAAACACATAGATGTGACATTATGATGTCAGATACGATAAAACTAAACAAAGATAAACTGACAGGTCAGGCAGACATATAAATTAGATTGACTCATATACTGTTGCAGTCTCTTAGACAGACAGACAGACAGACAGACAGACAGACAGACAGACAGACAGACAGACAGACAATCATCCCTCACGAGTAATGATGACCAGTCCTTTTATCAGCTCAATAGAGTGGGGTAGGTGTGTGTGTGTGTGCATGTGTGTGTGTGTGTGTGCATGTGTGTGTGTGTGTATGTGTGTGTGTGTGTGTGTGCATGTGTGTGTGTGCATGTGTGTGTGTGCATGCATGTGTGCATGTGCGCATGTGTGTGTGTATATATATATATACACACACACACACACAGTTCAGATGGATACAAACATGAACAGTGCAAACCTTCTGTTTCTCAACATGGTCTTTAAGTCTTCTTTCATTCATCTCTTGTTCCTGGTGCAAATAAAAATAACGATTACAAATTATAATTATAATGTGACGATGCAGACTTGTAAATCAGATTCTGGTAGACACTAGAGATGGCACACTGTCACAAAGTCCTTCATTCAGACCAAAATGGCAGATAAGCAGCCAGTCCATTAAAACCTTTAGGGGGTGTTTTTTTCCCCACCTGGCTATGGTGTGCTAACAGAGTTTCCATAAGCTACTAAAGTAAGTGCTTGGTACAACACTGTGAGCTGTGTATTTCATGCCCTTCATCTAAACCCGCAGCAGTTCCTGTAAGATATATTCAGAAAATGGTTTGTGGCCCGTTTGCATTTGAGCTGGCAAGTGTATGGCCAATTTGTCATGACTGACTACTATTATCATCAACAATCTACACAAGTGGTGGCAACTGTTAGTGTTGGCACCTCTAGGGACTGCCTTACGCATTTTTTACATGCACAATGTTTGGTGGGATTTTGCTGAGACAAAGTGTTTGTTCACTAGTTTTTCAGTGAGGAAAAACGTGTAACTTCTATATGAATGGTTGAAAGTTTAAAGTAAAAAAACAAAAACTTACTCGTTTTTGCAATTCAGCTCTTCTTTTCTGCTCCAATTCTATTCTTTTCTGCTCTAATTCTACCCTATCTTTCATTTTCTTCTCCCATTCCTGAAAATAAAATAGTTTAACATAATTATTCAAAATGGATCATTCAAATATCTATGTACAGAAAAAAGTAAACAATAAGTAAAGAAATCTTTCCACAGAGTGAGACCGTTGGATATATGGTGCTAGCCACATTCAATTCTTAGACTAATAGTACTCAACTGGGAATTTGGTTAGTATCATGCTGGCCAGTTTTACTTTCCATTAAATCTCCTTACACTTATGTTAGGTTGGAATGGTCTTGAGCGCTCAGGTAAGTTTCCAAAACAATTTTCACCAGCGTGTTACTGAGGATCAAGAGGGAAGCAAAGGATAATAACATTACAGCTGCCTTATGCATTTACTTTGCCTGTGTGAGCTTTAAGACTTTGCCGAGTCTGACAGGTTTTTCACTGGTTTTCAAATAGTACTGTGATGGAAAATGTGTGTGATTTACGCAGGCACAGTTACAGGGCATCCCTTCTGCAGTGAAGGTGGAGCATCAACTAACGATTAACACTGTAACTCACAGTGCAGCTCTGTGGCTTACAGGGGTTAGTGAATGTGTTGGACACTTACATCCACCGATGAAAGTAAAATTGTGACAACAGAGATGAAATGCCTTAGAAGAGCTGCAGGAGTTTCAAGGAAAGACAGAATACAAAATCACGAAATCAGACGAATGCTAGGAATAAAGCCAGTCTTACAAGTCATCAAAGAACAACAAATGAAGTGGTTTGGACACTGGTACTATCTGTCACAGAAAGCCACACTAAAACGTTACAACGGGTAAAAAGCGAGTGGAAGACCTCGCAAAATATGGAGTGATGGCATTAGCTGTAGAAGGTTTCATCTACAGTTTGGTCTGGCTGCATTGTCAATAGATGGCAAAACCAATTTATCCTCGGTTTCTCAATGAAATTCTAGTACAGTCCTGTTCCAACATTCTCTCTTGTGTTGGCATTCGTGACCCTATCTCTTCTAGTGTCATTTGTGACCTTTCAAAGTCAGAATATTTCTCAGATAGTTATTTTCTTCTGTGATCTACTCAATGTCCATGTCTGGCACTGACGGCATAAAGTGGGTATAAATTTCAATTAATGATCTGCTGTTTTGCTCGAAGGGAGACAAACAACTGACTGACTTTCTACCCCACCAGGACATCACACAAGCTATAAACACCCGATGACACAATGTCCCACCATGTGGGTGAAGATCACCGTGCAGAGGTCCCAGAAACCGCATTCAGCCTTTAGGCCATATTTATGGCCAGGCTATATTGCGGCCCCTGGCAAAAGCCAGAGAAGGGCTTCAAATAAGGACAAATTTCATCCTAAAAAGGACGAGAAAGTACAATGTAGGAAAACCAGAGTAAAAAGGGAGACAATTATATGTTTGAGCCATGGAGCTAGCCGACAGGTGACAGAATTTGCTTCTGAACTTTCTGTCAAGTCTGCCATTTAATCATCAGTTAAAATATTAAAGGAGGAACCAATGGTGTCGAATTGAACCAAATTTTCAATGGTGCTTTTTCTGAGTTTTAAAAAGAATTTAATGTTAGCTTTGCTCTGTGCTGATTATGTAACAATGCACCTCTGACTAGGTCAACAACATGGTGGCTTGTCTGTTGTCTGCTGAACTGTCTGTCAAGTCTGCCATTTAATTAGTTAAAATATTAAAGGAGGAACCACTTACGGCTTGACCAGGAATGGGCAGCTGGCGGCCTGGAGTACTTGGTCTCTTCTTCTCTCCTGATATTCTAAAGACAAATATTAATTTGAGTGAGCACACAGAGAACTAGTAAAGTATACAATTACATGTTGGACATGGTTTCTTCAAACGTTCTCTTTAAGTTCACGCCTTGAGGCTTTGGTCATCATGACTGTCCACAACCTTCTGTCATGTGTACTGTCAATCATGTTTGATACAGACTGGAATAGATTTTCAGAATAAAGATGAGCTATCCTCCGAATAACAGGCACAAAAGATGGTGGCCAAAAACAGGGCCTCAGTCACGTGTCAATTGCGCACTTCCGGGGACCTAATTTGCGGTTTTCCGGCGACTACCACCACCCCTGAGAGTATCCCCCATGCCATCTGCCGAAGCTGCTGCTCATGAGTCCCAGCCATCTAGTTTAGCCCCAATCCACGCCGCATGAGCAGCGTGGGGGATACTCTCAGCGGTGGCGGTAGTCGCCGAAAAACCGCAAATTAGGTCGCCGGAAGTGGGCAATAGACACGTGACTGAGGCTCTCTTAGGATGTTTTTGCGGCCGCCATCTTTTGTGCCCGTTATTCGGAGGATAGCCTAAAGATGGACTAGACTTATTCATGACATAAAATTGTAGAAAAATCGTGTAAACATAATTATTTAAGCTCTAGTATCCAATGACACATGAGAAATTATCTGTTGCTTTTTAGTGCACTAATTATGTGATGTGTTCTAAATAAAAGCCTATTAAAAAAATATATACATATATTGTTTTTATATTCAACACAAGAAATCAGATCCACAATTTCACCTGTTTTTTGAAGAGTTCAGTGGCACACCATAGACGGCCGCAGGATCATATTTTCTGGCTGCAGAACCTGGTCGAGGAGTAGCAGGTGCTGCCATTTTCGCAGGATCTACAGTCCAAGTAAAATATGTTTTTATTAGAAAGTCAGAGAAAATATTTCAAATTAGTCATTGGGAAGGTAAAAGTAAAATCATGGCAGCAATGGTGGGAGTATACAGAGACAACTGCAGATAACAGAGACAAACACACAAAAGGGAGTTGAATGGCAGTAGACAAAGAAGTCGACCAAGAAGATGATGGGAAGATAATATGCAGACAGACCTACCATCACTTGGCATCCCCAACTGGAAAGAGAAGACCAATTACAGGGATGAAAAGAGCTGGACCTAACTCATATATGCCTAACTTTACCTACAGCAGGTCGATGAAAACTAAGGCAAACCTGGAGCTTTTAAAATGTGACCCTAATAATGAACAGGAGGCCACAGCAGGCCACCTTAAGCAGGCTGTATAGTTGTGGACAGAAGTTTAAAACCACCTAGTAAATAAATGATTTGTCCATCCTGTTATGGAGAATTGAGTATTTCAGGGTCCATTAAAGACAACTCTTGCAGTCATCATTCTGCCCTAAAACAGCAGTTAATGCAGTACCCCACAACAGTGTGGAAATATTAATTGTTTACTAGGTTGGTCTTAAACTTTTGGCCACCACTGGATGAGACATGGAGCTCAAGAAAGCATTTAAAAACATGGAGCTAAAGAAAGCATTAAAAACATGGAGCTAAAGAAAGCATTAAAAACATGGAGCTAAAGAAAGCATTAAAAAACATGGAGCTAAAGAAAGCATTAAAAAACATGGAGCTAAAGAAAGCATTAAAACATCGAGCTAAAGAAAGCATTAAAAACATGGAGCTAAAGAAAGCATTAAAAAACATGGAGCTAAAGAAAGCATTAAAACATCGAGCTAAAGAAAGCACTTAAAAACATGGAGCTAAAGAAAGCATTAAAACATCGAGCTAAAGAAAGCACTTAAAAACATGGAGCTAAAGAAAGCATTAAAAATCATGGAGCTAAAGAAAGCATAAAAAAAACATGGAGATAAAGAAAGCATTAATGGATGAGATTGAAATCAAACTAGTTAGGGCCTAGAAAGAGATACACATACAAAGATTCAAGACAGACCAAGACTCGAATAATGAATGTAATGAACAATGGAAGCTCAATGAGGGTGCAAGACAAAACACCACAAAAACAATTTAATGTTTCAACCAAAGTCTATATCAACAAGAACAAGAATCCTAGACATCAGCCCCCACAATTCTAGATTCTTGCTGTGCTGCTTGCTGACAAAGGCTTCGGTCAAAATATTCATTTTTTTTTTTCTGTAGTGTTCTCCCGCCTCTTTCTCACAGAGCTTCATAGAGGTTGCTCATTTAATTCATTTTTTAAAAATAGCTCTAATTTAGACACCTCTATTTTTAAGACTCAAATACTTTGTTTTACCCACATACAAGTTAGCCCACTTTGTGATGTTTTACCCACATACAAGTTAGCCCACTTTGTGATGTTTTACCCACATACAAGTTAGCCCACTTTGTGATGTTTTACCCACATACAAGTTAGCCCACTTTGTGATGTTTTACCCACAGACAAGTTAGCCCACTTTGTGATGTTTTACCCACACACAAGTTTGCCCACTTTGTGATGTTTTACCCACATACAAGTTAGCCCACTTTGTGATGTTTTACCCACATACAAGTTAGCCCACTTTGTGATGTTTTACCCACATACAAGTTAGTCCACTTTGTGATGTTTTACCCACATACAAGTTTGCCCACTTTGTGGAAGACTCACCTGCAGAAGGTTTGGGTGCAGGCGGGAGAGCTTTGGCAATCTTGTGACCATGCATGATGGTGTGACTAAATTCATCTGCCAAATCCTGTTGCAAACAAAAAGGCATACAATGTTTAAATTCGCATACTGTGTTCAGAAAAAAACTCAGTAAATGCATATCCACTGCTAGCAACCACCAGCATCTGCAGCTGGGTTACCCACTGGATGTAGATGATTTCATCGCCAATCAGAACAGTATTTGGGTCTGTCTCTTTTGATCGCATCAACACTGCAAGAATATTTTTTTAGGGCTCTTAGTGGCATGCAATGCTAAGACATTTTATATGGTGCACATCACCTTGTCACAATTAGTTAGTTAGTTAGTCTTTCCTCTTGTGTTGAGTGCGGCACATAGGGCAGAGGTCATGACTCTCCATGCATGGCGGTTCGTTGCAATCCGTTGTAGGTCTTGGATGTTTGAGTGGCTCATTAGCGAGCCTTCCCTGATGATAGTTCTACGTAGGGTTTCCCTTGGTCTTCCACGAGATCTTTTCCCCTGTGGTGTCCAAATGAGAGCTTGGTAAGGAAGTCTTGATTTATCCAGATTTAAAAAGATTTAACCTAAATATTCCCCCTTTGGGATGCTGCTTGAAAATGACGATTATTTCTCCAGCAAAGCAACAGGCAACCATCAGTCCCTAATGACCATGAGCTATAGGGTTGTTTTAAAGAACGGCATCTACTTTAACTTTGAACTCCTATGAGGTAATGGCAGTCTCTGCCACACATCATCATCACCATCCTCTTGTGTCATTATATGTCACACAATGTACATATCTGCCACACAGTCCACATCAAAACACAGACACTCTATTATACTAAGTCTGATTTTTCTCTCAGAAGCCTCTACAGCTTGCTATGTTTGGCCTCTTGCAAAGTGCAACTGTCTTAACCACTAGGTTACTTTATATGTAAACTTTTTCTCTGTATCCACTTGTTGTAGACTCTGGCGGAAAGCTCTAGGTGTTCATTCACTCCCGACTTTAGTCTTGTTCCAGAACTTAACTTTTATGTGCAAATCCGTTTTACAGATTATGGCTTATGTGTATGTAGACTGTTGGTTTCTCACTTCTCAGACAGATTTATGCTGAACCAGAAGGAAACACCCCTAATTCTTAAGACATGTTTGTTAGGGGGACAAATGGGGCCCCAGAACCCACACGTGGATGTTCACTTCTAGATGCCCTGCACTCAACAACTCAGCTGATCCACAGATGATAATCCCACAAAGAAGGAGATGATAAATCCCTGGTGCTGTCAATGGCTGTAACAAAAGTCATCCGCCTTACACTCTGACGATCATGGGTTCCATTTCAAACTTCATCCCATGTCTTTCAGATATCTCTGGAGGTCATCACTGGAGCTATGGTAATTCACATGCATGGGACTAAACCCGGTGTAACTAAACCAATCGTCCTAGCTTTAAACAACTTTTTGAAGAAATGCTATCATAATAAAAGCAACAAAAACATCTCAAATGTAAATACCTGTGCAGACAGCAACTTTCGCACTCTCTGCATAATAAAGTTCTTTCTCAAGATGGAGTTGACACTGGGGCGGTCCCTACAAATGTAAAAGGGGTAAAAAATTAATATAGATGAGTATATAATGTTGTGTAAAATGTGATGAATTACAAAGAGAATACAAAGTATAGACAGCATAGTCCTAGAAGATAAATGGATATTGCGGCTAAATGACCCTCTTCAGCAAAGAAATTTATTCACTCACTGTCCTGTTGTCTATCTCTCCAATCACTTCAATATCATAAATAGAATCCAGACCAGCACCTTTGGCTTCTCTCATCAACGTTCTCCTTAGGGTTTCTCTTGAATGCCCTTATTTCTTGAATCCCTCTATGTCCCCTTTCAGAGCTTGTTTGGTGATTCTTTGTTCATCTCTTCTCAAAATGTGTCCAATACACACATAAAAGAAATATAAAAAAACTAAGGTGAAATATCATCTAACTTAGCAGCAGAAACAGAGCTAGAGCAAGCTTTGTCAAGAACAGTTATGAAGTGTATGGTTCTGAGATGAAGAAGCAAAAGTTAAAAGGATAATGGTTAAAAATTGAAGCAAGATATCCAAGGCAACTTGGACATAAAAGTCCACAAGGCAGGAAAGTTGGCAAGGGACTGAATGGCCTTTCCAGTGTGCTGCTTCCATAAACAATCAACACCACTACAATCATCAACACAACTGCAATCATCAACACCATTACAATCATCAACACGACTGCAATCAGCAATCTATCAAAACAACCATCAATTCTATCACCATAATCATCAATTCTGTCACCACAATCAATGACACCACTATAATCGTCAAAACCATTACAATGATTAACAGCACAACAATCATCAACATCACCACAATCATCAACATCACCCCTAAAATCAACACCTTGATATCATCAATACCACGGCAACCATCAATACCTCCATAATCATCAATACCAATACATTCATCAAGTCACTTCAAGCAATCGTTAATACCACCATGATCATCAATATCACCACAAACAATCATCAATACCCTCACAATCATCAACATCACAATTATTACCACTACAGCACATTTCATGATCAAAATCATTCAACATTACACACAGAACCACCAACCTGGGATTTCTCTTGAACAGCTGGGCAATCAAACCTCGAAGGTCATAACTGAACTGAGGTGAAATCGGAGGATAACTTGCCCTGCCACAATACAAATGTTACACCTGAGTGATGGATAAATTACCCTCGGACAGTAAAAATATGGTGCACTAGAGTTATAGTTCCCCTCATTTTTTTCACCAGGACAATTAAAAACGCTGCTGCCATTTCACCAAAAAAAAAGCATAATTTGTAATTTTCTATTTAAAATTAAAAAAATGAATGCTATCTCAAAAGTCTGCATTTGCAGTTTCCTTAAAGTCATGCCCAGCCGATGAAGGTAGCACGCTACTGAGAATGTCTCGTTTAGCTGAGGTTAGTAATGACATCACAGCATTCGGACACTCGCAAAAGCGCATCGTCCCGATTCGTCCCCTACTTCAGCACGTAGGCTGCTATTATAAGTTGCGAATAAATACGCACGTAGGCTGCTATTATAAGTTGCGAATAAATACGCACGTAGGCTGCTATTATAAGTTGCGAACACATACGCACATAGGCTGCTATTATAAGTTGCGAACACATACGCACATAGGCTGCTATTATAAGTTGCGAACACATACGCACGTAGGCTGCTATTATAAGTTGCGAACACATACGCACATAGGCTGCTATTATAAGTTGCAAACACATACGCACATAGGCTGCTATTATAAGTTGCGAACACATATGCACGTAGGCTGCTATTATAAGTTGCGAACACATACGCACATAGGCTGCTATTATAAGTTGCGAACACATACGCACATAGGCTGCTATTATAAGTTGCGAACACATACGCACATAGGCTGCTATTATAAAACATACGCACATAGGCTGCTATTATAAGTTGCGAACACATACGCACATAGGCTGCTATTATAAGTTGTGAACACATACGCACGTAGGCTGCTATTATAAGTTGTGAACACATACGCACATAGGCTGCTATTATAAGTTGCGAACACATACGCACGTAGGCTGCTATTATAAGTTGTGAACACATATGCACGTAGGCTGCTATTATAAGTTGTGAACACATATGCACGTAGGCTGCTATTATAAGTTGCGAACACATATGCATGTAGGGTGCTATTATAAGTTGTGAACATATTCACCTAGGCTGCTATTATAAGTTGCGAACACATATGCACGTAGGCTGCTATTATAAGTTGCGAACACATATGCACGTAGGCTGCTATTATAAGTTGTGAACATATTTACCTAGGCTGCTATTATAAGTTGCGAGCATATACGCACATAGGCTGCTATTATAAGTTGTGAACATATTCACCTAGGCTGCTATTATAAGTTGCGAGCATATACGCACATAGGCTGCTATTATAAGTTGCGAACACATATGCACGTAGGCTGCTATTATAAGTTGCGAACATATGCACGTAGGCTGCTATTATAAGTTGTGAACATATTCACCTAGGCTGCTATTATAAATTGTGAACATATTCACCTAGGCTGCTATTATAAGTTGTGAACATATTCACCTAGGCTGCTATTATAAATTGTGAACATATTCACCTAGGCTGCTATTATAAGTTGTGAACATATTCACCTAGGCTGCTATTATAAGTTGTGAACATATTCACCTAGGCTGCTATTATAAGTTGTGAACATATTCACCTAGGCTGCTATTATAAGTTGTGAACATATGCACATAGGCTGCTATTATAAGTTGTGAACATATTCACCTAGGCTGCTACTATAAATTGTGAACATATTCACCTAGGCTGTTATTATAAATTGTGAACATATTCACCTAGGCTGCTATTATAAATTGTGAACATATTCACCTAGGCTGCTACTATAAATTGTGAACATATTCACCTAGGCTGCTACTATAAATTGTGAACATATTCACCTAGGCTGCTATTATAAGTCCTGAAACATATTCACCTGGCTGCTATTATAAGTTGTGAACATATTCACAGAGGCTGCTATTATAAATTGTGAATATTCACCTAGGCTGCTATTATAAATTGTGAACATATGCTAGCTGCTACTATAAATTGTGAACATATTCACCTAGGCTGCTACTATAAATTGTGAACATATTCACCTAGGCTGCTATTATAAGTTGTGAACATATTCACCTAGGCTGCTACTATAAATAGTGAACATATTCACCTAGGCTGCTACTATAAATTGTGAACATATTCACCTAGGCTGCTACTATAAATTGTGAACATATTCACCTAGGCTGCTATTATAAGTTGTGAACATATTCACCTAGGCTGCTACTATAAGTTGCCAACACACACGCACATAATGAACTCCGACATATTCATTCTAACACATTTTCTGAAACTGATAACTTATTCATTTCCTAGAAGCCACCAGCGTCCTAAAGTTGAACAGAGTTTACTCATCAGAGTTCAGCTTCTTCTTCCTAGAGTTAACATTCTGTAAACTCCTGCAGGAAGTTCTGTTTGTTTGGTCATTCCTGGACTTTGATCTTGATCCAGAACTTGAGTTTTGCATGCACATACATGGGACAGATTTGGATTATTTGTATGCAGACTGTTGGTTTCTCGTCTCTCAGGCACTCTGACTTTGAAGGAAACAACCGTAATTAGCCTCCTATGACATGGTTGGGGGAGGGGGGAAAGTTCTTTGTTCTCCAAAATAGAGCCCTGGAACCCAGACTTGAAACAGATGAGCAACATCAGAGATGACAGCCTGAGAATGCACTTGTCACCATTACCCTGCTGCGTCTGTGGCTTAAGCGTTGCGAACACGCTTTGTAATGCCGGGTTTGATCTCAGCTGTGGGCCCTGCATTGGTTTTTACAGTGGTATCGAGAAGCCGACTGTCCAGAAAGCAAAAGCAAACTACTGGATGTAAATTTGCCTAGAAAAACCACGACAGCCAACAACAAATGCTGGGGCTGGTTCTGCAATGCCCTGTAAATCATACATAACTAACTTTGAACCATTATATGTCCCATAGTCTTATTTTCCAATTCTATACTGTGCAATCCTTCTGATATTATGAATGGAATCCGTTTGTTTCCCATTTTAGTACCTTTTTAGTGATTCTCCACTAGCTTCCCCACATGTAGTATCCGGTATATTGCCAAGAGAATGTACTTACTGCATGTTTTAATGTGGTGAGTTCGTACAGCACACATCCTATAGACCAGATGTCACTGCAGGAAGATAATCATTCATTACATTATGATTAAAATAGTGATCCCATGGCTAAATAATAATTAAGCTGTCACTACTGTCTTTATTTAATGCTGTGTGTGTTTTTTTTTTAGGTAGTGTAGACGGTGCATATGTGGAAATGTCCCAAGTACAGTAATGTCAATTCTCCATTCATTCATTCAAATAGCAAAAGGTGTTCACATATACTAGCTAAGACATTATAAGTCCAGGTAATTATCAAATCTGGCATGCAAATGTACATCATATAATATATCATCAAAACCATTTATCATCAACTTCATTACTATCGACACTATGAACTACAGCACCATCAAAACCATTATCATCAACTTCATTACTATCAACACTATGAACTACAGCACTATCAAAATCATGATCATCAACTTCATTACTATCAACACTATGAACTACAGCACCATCAAAATCATGATCATCAACTTCATTACTATCAACACTATAAACTACAGCACCATCAAAATCATGATCATCAACTTCATTACTATCAACACTATGAACTACAGCACCATCAAAACCATTATCATCAACTTCATTACTATCAACACTATGAGCTACAGCACTATCAAAACCATTATCATCAACTTCATTACTATCAACTCTATGAACTACAGCACCATCAAAATCATGATCATCAACTTCATTACTATCAACTCTATGAACTACAGCACCATCAAAATCATGATCATCAACTTCATTACTATCAACACTATAAACTACAGCACCATCAAAATCATGATCATCAACTTCATTACTATCAACACTATGAGCTACAGCACCATCAAAATCATGATCATCAACTTCATTACTATCAACACTATGAGCTACAGCACTATCAAAACCATTATCATATGATTACTATCAGCACAGCACCATCAAAATCATGATCATCAACTTCATTACTATCAACACTATGAGCTACAGCACCATCAAAATCATGATCATCAACTTCATTACTATCAACACTATGAGCTACAGCACTATCAAAACCATTATCATCAACTTCATTACTATCAACACTATGAACTACAGCACCATCAAAATCATGATCATCAACTTCATTACTATCAACACTATGAGCTACAGCACTATCAAAACCATTATCATCAACTTCATTACTATCAACACTATGAACTACAACACCATCAAAGCCAATTCTGACACCAAAAACCATCAACATCATCACTTTTAATCCTATTATTAACATCCTTAACATGCTCTCTATCATCAAAACCCTCATAATCTATAATTAACATCAACAATGCCACAATTTCTATTATTATCACTACTATCATCATCAAAAAAATTTATTGTATGGTACCTCTTGTTGTTGTACGGCATGTTTTCAACAATCTCCGGAGACAGATAGTATGGGGTACCAATACACGTATGAGCCAGCTGGGCCGTCCTGTAAACAACATATCCAGGTAAAGATTGCCTACGGTACAAACAGAAGACTGCAGAAGTGTACAGCAAAATATTTATTTAGTTATAGTTAGTTTTCTTCAACTCTAGACGGCTCAACATTAGGGTCTTGCTCTTTCTTATTGTGTCGATAAACCAACATCAAACCATCAACATCAAACCATCAACATCAAACCACCAACATCAAACCATCAACATCAAACCACCAACATCAAACCACCAACATCAAACCATCAACATCAAACCACCAACATCAAACCATCAACATCAAACCAGACAGGAGTAATCAGTCTCCATACAAATGGGGTCTCTGTGGTAAAGAGGTCAAGCCCTCTGCCTTGCACTCTGAAGGTCATGGGGTCATTTCATGGATGAATCGCTAAGTTCACACTATGCAACTGTTATGGATATCCCTGGGGATCATCACAGGAGCTATGGAATTCATGCTTTATGGGTGCTCTCAGCAGGTGGTAAGATGTTCTGAAGAGAGAGGTGCAGCCATATCGGATACAAAACCAGGTGTAATGAAGTTGATCTTTTCAATTTTAACATTTTAACTTTTAATTCTCTAGAAAATCTAAGCTGCCTATGCAGGTTCCAGGGTACCATTGTGGGGAAACAAGAGAATAGACCCCCCACCCAACAAGCAGGTCGTAAAAGTGCATCTGCTTCAGAGGTGAGCACCCAACAGTCTGCATACAAATAAGCCATTTCTGTAAAAAGGATGCCAATGAAAAACTCAAGTTCTGGAATAAGACTGAAGTTCAGAAGTGCATGAACAACCATAATTTTCCCCAGTATAGGTGCAGAAGAAGAGAACTCTAACTTTTACAGAAATGCTGAGCAGTGGATCTGAGCATCTATTTCTTGCCCAGGCATGCAAAGATGGTAGTCCATTTAAAAAATGTGTACAACTGATCACAAGTGTACAATAACAATTTGAACTTCTACAATATTGTTTTAACAATTCTGAGAATAAAGTAAATGAAAACAAAGAGACTCACGATGTGAGAACTTTAGCAATACCAAAGTCACCCAACTGCACAGTTCCGCTCTGTGTTAAGAAAATATTCTGCAAATAAAAAAGGCTAATAGCTTTACCTTCCATTTCTGGAACAGTTTTTTCACTAAAAAAATATGAAAAACATAAAAGTTTCAAGGAAAACTAAATATAATTTCATAATAAATTAGCTTTATGTTAGAAAATACCAGATAATAAAGGCTAGGAGGAAAAGAAAGAAAAAAAAAACTGACACAAAAAAAAGATCTGAAAACAAGGGGTGCTGTCTAGTAAACAGTGTCTTGTCTCGAAGACAGAAATATTTTGGCCACATGAAGCACTACAGCAGATCACTGAAAGGCATAGTACCAGGAAAGAGGGGCAGAGGGTGACCAGCACAAAGATGGGCCCAGGTTATGACACCTTAGGTGCACAAGGTGGAAGAGCATGTGAGGGATTGAGTGCCTTTCAAGCAGACCGTGATGGCAGCTACTTTCAGCCAAGAACCCAGGATTTGGCTCTCCTTGCAATAAAGGTCGCTAGTTGGACGGTGACGGTCGCTTCATCAGAGTTCAGTCCCCTGGCTGCAGTGCAATTACGGAGTGGAAAAGAGGGAACGACACAAATGACATAATTAGGGCTAGGGGTAGGGTTAGGTTTAGGGTTAGGGTAACACATGTAACGTCGGGTACTTACCCATAATGACGGCCGCTATATCTGATAATTTTGACACAGGAGTTCGAAATAATGGCCGAAAATGTGCTGCTTGTGGCAGTGGCACCATTGGAACTCTGCTAAATATGACGGCAATATAGAAGCCATGATGAACTCACTTTGTTTTGTGATTCGTGCCTTGTCCACTCCGTAATTGCACTGCAGCCAGGGGACTGAACTCTGACTAAGCGGCCGTCGCCGTCCAAGTAGCGACCATTATTGCAAGGAGAACCCAGGATTTTATCTTGGGTATCTTTGAAGTTCATGAGTTATTTTTTGTTATACACCAAGTTGAGTTGAGTTTCAAGAACTGACAGGATATTCCCATAAGTGCTGCGTCCCCATTTTCAACAGCCAGCAAAGAATTCCAACTCTGTTGATACCAATAGCAGTCTGATGTATGTCGGTCTTGTCTTTTCTCTGAGTGTGGATGGTCAGCCAGACCCCCCTCCCCCAGGTCTATCCCCGTTGCACTGTTCTCTTCACCCCATGATAATCTAACTGTGCCTCTGTATTGTTCACTTGCTCCTAGAGTGCCTTGACAACAGCTGCCTTCTCATGCATTAGTTTATCACCTAGTGGTACAGAACCAGCCAGTCTATCTGCTTGTTCATTTCCCAACATACAAGCATGACCTGGAGAAAATACCCAAGGACGCTAACCTCCCTGGACCACTGAAGCTATGTGAGCCACTCTGCATGGAGTATGTTCAATTATAGTGACCTTCAGCTGTCATAAAATAGATCAACTAGAGCAGCGGTTCTCAACCTGTAAGTTGTGACCCTTTGTGGTTCAAAAAAAACCTTTCACAGGGGTCGCCAAAGATCGTCGGAAAACATATATTCACTGAAGTTATGAAGTAGCAACGAAAATAATTGTATGGTTGGGGGTTGCCACAACATGAGGAACTGTATTAAAGGGTTGTAGCATTAGGAAGATTGAGAACCCCTGAACTAGAGGAATGGAAGAAGAAGCTGAAAAATCTGGTCCTGATCATTTTTTATATCGGGGTGGTTGAAAACTATAACCACTGATCAGACACGCATGCCTCCCATTTATTACATCATCGCAGCCCTAAGTCTGTTAGCTATTTCATCATCGTCACATCAAAAAAAGCCCTGGAACCCACAAGGGAAGTGCAACATATCAAACTTGAGTACCTGGCATTTGATGTCTCGATGTAAAATCTTTCTGTCGTGAATGTGTTTGACGGCCAAGCACAGTTGCACAAACCAATTTAAAATCTGGAAGCAGACATCCAAAAAAAAAAAAAATCTTATTAAAACCATTAAATGTCTGATTTTTATAAAACAGCTATGTCAAAATGGGAAGTCGCCGTGGTGTAGTGGCTAAACACTTGCCTGCAGATCCAAAGATCATGGATTCAAATCAAAATGGAGCTAAATTGCTTTTTCAAAAATGATCTTGGTTCCCAGGTCGACCCAGCCTTAAATTGGTACTAGATAAAGCCCTGGGAAGTAAAGGTAGCTAGTCTGATGTTAACCTCATTCCTCACCAAGTGCCGATTGGTTTAAAATATAGATATAGCACTATATACCTAATACACCTGAAGATGTGGAAAAGGATTCTTTATGTCGAAATGAATTTTGGGATTTTGTAAGGAGTAGGGTTACATCCAAGAGAAACTGTGCGATGAATGTTGATGAGAAAGGCCAGAGGGGTCGATTAATTCCAATATCATACTGAACAAATTTCAAGCTCTTTGTGATGTGCTTTCTTCTCCTTCTCCAGTAGTTCACGGAACTGTTAGGGGAGAAGTAAAGATCTTCTCTGTTCTTTCCAATGCAATACATAGGTTTACCTTCATTTTTTTTTTACGGCTGTTCTTGATAGTGTTTTTTCCATATTTGGCACAGACTATTGCCAATGACTTCCAAATCAATGACTTCCCCGACTAAACATCACACAGATGTTTTTTAATATTGTCAGTGATTTATGCTTCTCAAGGATGTTTCCTATTGTTAGCGATTTCCCCGTTTGTACTTCTCAAAGACGTTTTCTACTGTCAATGACTTCCCTGTCTATACTTGAAAATGATGTTTTCTATTGTCACTGACTTCTTTGCCCATACTTCTCAAAGCTGTTTATGTTTTCTGTATTTAGTGACTTCCCTGCTATACTTCTCAAAGACGTTTTCTACTGTCAGTCACTTCCCTGTCTATACTTGAAAATGATGTTTTCTATTGTCACTGACTTCTTTGCCTACACTTCTCGAGGCTGATTATGTTTTCTGTCGTCAGTGACTTCCCTGCTATACTTCTCAAGGATGTTTTCTACTGTCATTTGCTTGCCTATATTTCTCATAAATGTTTTCTGCCATCAATCACCTTTCTTTCTTTACTTCTCACAGATGTTTACCATTGCCAGTGACTTCCCTTTATATATAATCATCAGAAGTGTTTTCTACTGACAGTTACCTCCCCTTATAATTCCCCTCAAAGGCACTTTCTATTGCAGGTGAAGTGTCAGTAATGTTTACTTGCAACAATAGTCATTGAAAAACTAGTAAACAATGACGAGGGCTAAATGTGCACAGTACCAGAACATCTGTCTTTAAAAACAAAATATCAGCAAAGGAACAGTATGTTTTTGCAGGTGATTTCACCTGTGATCTTCAACAGCTTGTATCAGGTCATGCGCTGACACCCCTCCATGCTATGACAAAAGTGCATACAGAGCTCACAATAGCTGAATGTTTATATAAAATTGACTGATGACATGTTAAAATGTACCTGGGTAATAAGGTTTGGGTAATATAGTTTCTCTTACCTGATCTTCAGAAAACAACTGGCCCCTTCTTTCATTGATTCTACCATACAGATCACCTGGTCAAAGAAATGGTAGATCATAAAACCACTCACGCCCCACACAACTCAAAAATATTTATACAAACCCAAAACAGCAACAACACAAAATATCTGAAAAAACAACTCAGTAAAGGACCCTTTCCATGCCAGTAGGCATATTGGGCATATAGTCACAGACCTATATTTTATAGACCAATCGGCACACAGTGGGTATTATGGTCAACATCCCAGTAACTGTCTTGACATCCCAGGAATAAACAGGAGCTGATGAAGGTTGATGAGCAACAAGAATCAGAAGACAAGCTCCATTTAGAGAAGAAGAAAAAACATTGAAGCCAGGCCAAACTATTTATGAAACCATTTACAGTAGAATATCTAGGGAAGGTAAGAGGAAGACCAGGTAAGTTGTGGATTGATGGTGTAGATAAACCCTCAAAAAACATGAATCAAATCTGCCACTCCTGCCACCTGAGAAGTGCAAGACACAGACAAAACATCACATCACTGGGTTTCAACGAAAGAAAGCAGAAATAAACAAAACAAGATACAAGAGTGTTGAGCTTAAAACTGACATCAAAGCACTTGGGACATTTCCATGAGCACTCTGTCCTCATCTTCAGCAGCCAGAAAAGAGTTCAAATTTCAATGGTGCCAGTAGCAGTTTGATTATATGTCCGTTTAGTTTTCTCTGAGTGTAGTAGAGTGTCGACCAGACTCTCTGGTCACTCACAGCTGTACCATTCTCTCACTGTTCCCTTGCTCCCAAAAAAGGCCTTGACCACATCTAGTTTGTCATGCATCATTTTACCACCAAGTGGACCAGAACCAGCTAATCTATCAATCTGTTTATTTCCCAACACTCCTGCATATAAAGAAATTAAGATTAAGAAAAATAAAATAATTCAGTGCATATAATCAGATGCTGGTAAAGAATATACTGATGTAAACATCAATAAAAACATGTTCAACAATTTTACAAAACTTACCTCCAGAACAATAATTCATCACTATATACAGACTCCCTCGCTCTGTGACAATTTGGAAGACAAAATTGAATTCATTAACTAAAATCTGATCTCGTTACTGAAACATATCTATTAATTACCTCAACTCTTACTCTAGCGATAAGTGTAAATGTGAAAAAAACTAAGAATTTTTCACGCACGTCTTTTGACCAAAAAGTATTGACCTGTCACCTATATCATCTCTCATGGTCATTTGTTGTCTACTGTCTATCCACATTCACTTTTTGCTTCTCTTAAAAGAGCGGCTGGCACACTGTGCTGTGGTTTACAGCTAGGCTGCGATATCTCCACCTTTTACCTCAACACATCCGATTTTAGCAGAGTCCTAAGTAGTCAGCTTCTATGACATGCCTTGTTATGGGCAATGGTCAATCTTTTTCTTCCCCAGACTAGGTCCCTGGATATCCACAGGGTGCCTATCCGTACGAAAGGTTATTTTTCAATGACGGTCCAAACTAACAAGCTAAGGCAGATATTCTGACAAGGAATTGTCCAAAAATGTGAAGCTGTCACATTTAGTCATTTCTGTTGTTGCATCATTATCTATGTATTTGCACGCTGATGAAGGCTTTCTGGCCACAACTTTTATCTTCTCATTCATAATTATGCTTTACGGGGAAGCCGCTAGTTCTACATATCAACTGGATTGTGAAACAACAGTTCTTCCTTCTTTCTTACTAGCTTTGATATTGTCATTAAACTCTTTCAGTCCTAGGTGGTTTCAAAGAAGAAACCCATTCTGGTACAATGTTCACAGTGAAAAAGACATCAGTGTATGACTTGCAGAGACATGGCATATACTATGCTGCATTTAAAATATTTGCCAGATTTTTTTCACATACCCAGACCAAACGTGAAATAAATAATAATACACACCATGTGTTGCGCTGATGTATTTAGACATGGGCCGAGCATACAGAGTGCGTTGCTTGGGACAGAAAGCATTAAGCTACCAAAACCAAACAGGAAAATAACATTTTTTTTCAACATTCTGATTCAAAGATTATTAACCCTTTCGCTGCTATGGACGTCTTTTCCCGATTTCCCGTACGCTGCTACGCCCGTCTTTGGACGTTATTTTTTTTCTTGACCCCCAGTGCTATGGACGTCCTAAGCCGTTTTTGGACTTTTCTTACAGATTTCTGTTACCTCGTATTTTATTGACTGAAGGGCAATATACATTAGCTATATTTAGATAAAACTGACCCATTTACATATGATTAAAAGCACTTGCACGTACTTTTAGGCGTGTTTAAGGTGTGTTTACTGCATTTTGCGTTATCCCGTTGCTTTGTTTACCGTGACAGCGTGGTCGGTGATCTGTGTATTTTGTGCCCTGATATATATTATTCTACACTTAGTACAAAATGGCAAGAAAACTTGTTAAAGTTGATGAAGAATTGATGGGGTTTCTGTCAAAAGTGATAGCGACGATGACTTTGAAATGTGTACTTCTGACAGTGAACAAGAAGATTTGACTAGGCCATCAGTATCGACTGCTGAAACCGGCGTGTCCAAAAAAAGCTGTTTGCCTGTCCGACGTCCTCATGTCGGAATCAGAGAGCAGCGACAATGACGCGCCATCAAAACGGCAATAAATTGATCAGTTATCTTGATGAACCGATGATTTGAAACCAGTAGTGCATGATTTTGATGACTCCAGCTCTATCTATATTTCTGCTACTGTAAATTCAAACAGTTAAGTCACTAAAATTTTTCGTCTTTCCCGATGGACAGACACAGATTCGGACGAACTAATTTTTTTTTCTGTCTGTCTGCTAATGCTTTGAACAAAGAAACTCAAAATAGAGTACTTGAGCAAAGACTGTTTGCTAAAAACTCCCGTAAAATAATGTCGAGGGACATATTTTTACTATTGTTGAGAATCTCAAACATTTCTTAGACAACAGTGCTCATGCAGGCGGCGATAGACTACAAACTTAGACACATTATTGATAGTTTGCGCACATCATTCATTATGATCATTTACACAGCGCAATGCATCAGGCGGTTGCATAGTGTAATTGGTATCACGTTCGCCTTAGAATCGAAGGGTCGTGTGTTCAACCCCCGATGTTTTTTTGTTTTTTTTTTAAATTAATTGTAAATTTTCCTTTGAGTTCTTGTTACTTTTCAGCAACGGACGACTTGAGTATTATTATGAATATTTTTTTATTATTATTTTGGTATGTAATAAAATGGTGACTACAAGTAAATATGATTAAAGTGGCAGCCGTGGTAGGTTCGTCAATCAAATTTTGGGATACGGACTGGGAACAGTTCCTCCCATTAATTCCCCCTCCCCACCCCCACCCGAAGGGTGATAGCTCCGTTAGTCAAGTTTGTGGGGCACCATCGTGCCTCTGAATTGTCACCACTCGGACCAACAACACAACTCCCCAGGGTAAAATTTTTTAGGTGTACAAAACATAGCCCTCACCGCGGACGCATCTTTTGCGTTTAGAGGATAGAAAAGATTTGCGCACAGCAGAGACTTTTTTTTTCACATTGCTTAGCACAGGGAGGACAACTATTTCCGGGAACGTAGCAGCGAAAGGGTTAACAGCACAATAAAACTAACAAGTACACTTGGAATGCACAAAACAGTGGCTAGTGACACAAAGATATATTTATTGTCGCCAAAAATGTGTTTTCTTACCTTCAAATGATTCCACATAAGCAACAATATTTGGGTGTTTTAGTTGGGCAAGAACAGCCACCTATTTTCAAAATGTAAACAAGTAAATAATTAGTTGATTACAATATTGTTTTACATATTTATAAATTTTCTCAAATATGTTATAATAAGCAATGTCACTGCTTTGAAGGTAATCAGGTAATCATGATTCCAACGTCATAGCAAATGGGTCACCCCACAGTTGCTCCATTGCGCCAGTAAAAACCACAGAATGTCCATCGTTGTCCTTTTGGAACACAAACAGGGTGAGGCATTAAATGTAATACATTCCCTGGGGGAGGCAGTAATCAATGGACACAAATAGGGTAAGGCATTAAATGTAAACATTTCCTGGCGGTTAAGAAAACATATATTTTGGTTAACTTTTGCAAATACCCACTGATCTGTATCACTGAGGTAAACAGGAAAATGTGATGTCAACTTGGCTTTACAAAAAGCTAGCTGGCATAAAGGAAAATCTTCCTAAATGCTTTTTTGAATTAATGTATTTATACTGTGACCTCCTAAATATTTGCACAGGCATGAAAACATCCAATAACAGCAACTATGAATCTCGTAAACAGGTTATTATAGACAAGAAGGAGAAGTGACATTACAGGGAATTGGATCCAACCAGAAGTGTTGGTTTGATGCTTCTCTGTGCGAAAGGATTAAATTTAAGATTAATGCTGAGGGTTACAATTACCTCTTTCCTTGCCTGTTCCCGTTCCTTGGTGGACATCTTAAACAAGAAAAAACATTATAACCGTTCAGTTTTTAGCTTTAGCTATTGTTATAATAATATAACTTTATTTAACCATTCTTACGCCTTCTGCACATTAGCCATATGGTGTCAGACTCTCAGGTGTTGCTGCTGACATACAACACCCTCTGCACAGCTGCCTATAGATGAACACAGATAAGGGCTCAAATGGGGACGGTCCTGGATGGGGGAAGCAAAAGCCACCATTAGCCAAATTTGCCCACCGGAACATGTGGTGATATGTTCAGCACCATGCTGGTTGCCTTTACTTCCCAGGACATTACTTAGTACCCATTTTAGGCTGGGTCGACCTGGCAGCTAGGGTCAGTTATAAAAACAGTGTGCTTCAGTGCAGACTTGAATCCAAGACCTTTGGCCAATATATTACAACAGCTCCCATTGTTACAATAACCTAGCAATAATTAGATGAGTTGAGCTGAAGTCACATTACTTACAAGAAAATACAATATGTGACAATACAGTGAAAGCATGAAGCCTGAACAAACACAAAAACACAGGGTCTTGTCAATCTACTGAAACCTGTAGAAGCACTGATTTGTTCTCTGAACTGGTCCTTCTTCATCTTCTTTTTCTTTTTCTTATGCTTCTGGGAAATTTTGGATAATCAGAACTATAATCCATCCAGGTAGATACAAATAAGAGCAATAATCTTTCCAAAAACATATGGATCGGAACAATAATCCTTCCAGAAACATCCAAATCATAACAGTAATCCTTCCAGAAACATCCAAATCATAACAGTAATCCTTCCAGAAACATCCAAATCATAACAATAATCCTTCCAGAAACATTCAAATCAGAACAACAATCCTTCCAAAAACATACAAATGTGAACAATAATCCTTCCAGAAACATCCAAATCATAACAATAATCCTTCCAGAAACATACAAATCAGAACAATAATCCTTCCAAAAACATACAAATGTGAACAATAATCCTTCCAAAAACATACAAATGTGAACAATAATCCTTCCAAAAACATACAAATGTGAACAATAATCCTTCCAGAAACATACAAATCAGAACAACAATCCTTCCAAAAACATACAAATGTGAACAATAATCCTTCCAGAAACATACAAATGTGAACAATAATCCTTCCAGAAACATACAAATCAGAACAATAATCCTTCCAAAAACATACAAATGTGAACAAATGTGAACAATAATCCTTCCAGAAACATACAAATCAGAACAATAATCCTTCCAGAAACATACAAATCAGAACAATAATCCTTCCAGAAACATACAAATCAAAACAATAATCCTTCCAGAAACATACAAATCAGAACAATAATCCTTCCAGAAACATACAAATCATCAAATCCTTCAGAAACAAAAACTACAAACATCTAACAATAATCCTTCCAGAAACATACAAATAGAACCTAATCCTTCCAGAAACATACAAAACATCTCAGAACAATAATCAACCAGAAACATACAAATGTGAACAATAATCCTTCCTAAAACCAAAAACATACAAATCAGAACAACAATACCTTTTCCAAAAACATACAAATGTGAAAACAATACAAATAGAAGAATCCTTCCAGAAACATACAACGACAATATGCACATAACAACAATCCTTCCAAAAAACGTGCCTTTCCAGAAACATACAAATCAGTAATCCTTCCAAAAACATACCACATAATCCTTCAGTGTCAAAACAATAAAACGAACAACTCACTGCTTTGTCGCCCTACAAATATGGCAAACATGCCCTTCCCAAACGCCGCTGTTCCTTACGTCTCACAAATCTGCCGTACACGGTTGTACTTGTTCATCTTGTCAGTATGGCTGGCTGCCAATCATGTCCCAATCAAACTATGAGTTTGCTGACCTGAGATGTGTTTCCAGTTAGTTATCCCCACATCCTACAAGCTCGCAGTACTGAAACACACACAAAAACAGAATTTTACTTGAACTCTTTCAGTACTAAGCAAGACACAATATGTGTTATTTGTGTGTTTCCAAAAAATAAATGATGCTCTTGCTGTCTTAATGTCCGATTCAGCCCTATCTAATATTTCTAAGTTACAGCCCTTGCCTTCCACATCTTGTTCTGGCTAGCATTCATTTCCTATATTCGCATGCTTTTAAGAAGAATGCAAAGAATATCATGTAATGATAGGAAAAAAAACAAGTCCTCATCGAGACAGATGAAAGGGGTAAACTTATCACAACAATTAGAGGTATACAGTCAGTGTTCTTTGGACATGTTATGAGAAGAAATGAACTTAAAAACTTGACAATAACCGGCATAATTGACGGAAAGAGAGCGAGAGGAAGGCAATGAGAAAAATACCTGAATGGCCTAGTCACACAGATGGGTGAGACAAAAAATACTGACCTCATCAGTAATTCTGGTTATCGTGTGAGATGGCCAAAACATGATATATTTTAAGTTAGCAGCCAGACAGTCATATGGATTTTTCCTGCTGGGTCTTAACCTTGTTTAATGCTTAATTAAGAACCAACGTCATAGATCAAGACATTTCCATAAGTGCATCATTTCCATCTCCATCTTAAGCAGCAAGCGCAGAGTTTCAATTCCAAGGGTACTAGTAACAGTCTGATTGTATATCCTCTCATCTTTCCCTTCAGTGTTGAGCGTCAGCCAGATTCTGGTCACTCCTAGCAGCAACATTCTCCTAAGACTGTGATGATCCATCCCTGCCTGTCGCGTGCGAATGTGCACCAGAACGCACCAGTACGGAGTGAGCAAATAAGACGTCAAAACAATACGTAACGTTTAGTTTATAGCATTTATTGTTGTCAAGCAGTTGATGTTTATAGTCCGAAGGAGAATGGACTGGGAATCCTTGAGGACGCTTTACCCCGGCATCCCACGGAAGCAAAACGTTATTACAGTTGGATCCTTGAATGACGTTTTACCCCGGGACTAAGACCTCAGGAAGCTGGTGAGACACTACTTCCTCGCAGCAAGCCGGTTATACTTTCATTGTTGACTTGTCCGAGGACCAGATGATTGTCATGATCTAGGTCGGACTGCCAGACCTCGTAAGGACATATCCATCCATGGATGTAACGAGTGAGCTTTGGTTGAATGGTTTACTTATGATGATTGCATACGTATTAGATGTTGATCATTTCCATGATTGTATCATATCAATACAACCATTGGAACTTAACGCATAGCGTTCGAGCTCTACATTTTAGAAAGCAGAAGTAACTACTGTTTTACCCCTACTTGGCCTATTTCATCTTGGTACCACACACATCAGCATGAAGCGATGAAGCTCTGCACGTCACAATGAAGGTCCGCACGTATCACTGCCTCTGCACTGTTCACTCCCCCCCAAATAGCCATTATAACATCTAGCTTGTTATACATCAATTCCCTACCCCTTTGTGCAGAACCAGCCAGTCTATCTGCCTGTTTGTTTCCTAATTCACCAGCACACTGTGAAGAAAAGACACTAACTGAAACGATGCTTGCCATTCTTCTCGAAGCATACCAGTCTCCACCTTTCTCAACATGCCCTGAGACCTGGTGTCAAGATGAAGTATAAATTGGTGGACAGTGTCTGTGTGCTTCGTACAGGTGGGTTTCCAGAACTCTGTTAATTCTTCTTCTTCTTTTGTCAAAATCTGCTTGTGCCGCTAGGCGTTGCAGTCTATCAGATGATCGGCAACCGAGCCAGGGCGCGCTCAGTCGCTTCATATGCCGTGATGTTATGAAGTCTCAAGTTGTCCGTGACTCCTTCAATCCATCTTCTTCTTGGTCTTCCTCTGTTAATTAATCCCGGTTATTCGCCCATTTGGACTTTGGCTTTTGTGCCAGGGCCTGAGTTTTGTGTGTAAATCCATTTTACTGGCTTATTTGTGTGCAGTTGGTGGTTCCTTGCCACTCAAGCAGATGCACTGAGACTTCAAAGGAAATCTGTCATTAGTTAATTTTTGTGACATGCTTGTTGAGGAGACAGTAGGTCTATTCTTGATGTCTCCACAATGAGGCCCAGGAACCCACACAGGAAGTGTGTTGTCTAGCTAAGTATACACGACTATAACATCTTACTTTTGCTCTACTTCTGAGGGTAGATAAGTAACATAAAAACCATCTTGGAATCAAGATTTTTTTGCACTCACCAGCTGTAAACTCTGGCAAAAGTTTTCATTGTTCCTCCACTTCTGAACTTTGGTCTTTTTCCATATCCTGAGTTTTGCATGGACATCCCTTTTACTGATATGCCTTATCTGTATATGGAATGTTGATTCCTCACCTTTCAAGCAGGTGCACACCAACTTCGAAGGTAACACCCCTAATTAGCCACCTCCTGTGACATGTTTGTAAAGAAGGCAGAGGATCTATCCTTTTTTTTTCCTGGACACTACAGGGCTTGTATCTTTACAACACATACATTGCTGAGTGATCAGAAGGCTCCTCAAATGAAGAGGTTAAACAAAAAGCATATTACTATCATAGATTATTATCCATGCTGTTGTTATTACAATCTCTGTCATTATTTCTCCTTTTAACATGTAAAAAACATATACAATTTTTAATAATTACCAAAACTTCACTAATGAATACTACATCTGGCATTTACTCAAACTAGGTCGCATCAACAAAGATACCTGGTATGGTATGTATCTTTAATATTTTTACCTAGCAAGCTTCCAGTCTAAAGAACAAAGACGCCAAAGCGAAAAATAAATGACTGAATTAATCAACAATATTTAGACCGATATGTTATTAAAGTGTTCGGAAATTTGTGGTCTTTTTGGCAATTTCCGTTACCATGAAACCGTTTGAAACGTTTTTGGGAAATGTGACATGTCGGCTGGGGGTTTCAGGATGGCTCCTAATCTCTCATGAAATATTGCGATTGGTGTGATTTTCACCAGCTATAAATAGCTGAAAACGGCGGGAAAGAACCCGATTAACAGCGCATGTCTACGACAGCCGGACGTCCTCTGTTTTTCTGCT